CCCCAAAACCCCAAAACCCCAAAACCCCTGCCAGTGGATAAATTTTGACAAAATAATTAAGTTATAATCATTTGCAGATGGCAACAATGGAAAACCAGGCATATTATAATGTTCAAAATAATCAATGGTACAAGAACTCGAAAGCTTACAGGAAGAGCTCCCAGAGGAAAGCTAGAAGATTTGAATACTCTTCTGAGTATCCTCGCGCAATGATAGTTATTGATGGAGCATATTTTGAACAGTGTACCTCTTCATTTTTGAACCAACAATTTTCCATTGACTTATTCTCATGTGATTCACCCACTGATTTGATCTGAAGCTTTGTCGAATCAATTGAGGACATAACCAGTTGCACACTAGATCATAGGGTCTTTGTATCCTCTCTCTTTGAGAAAGAGATGGGAAGCAAGAAGCTCAGAGAAGATCAACTATCCATGGTTGATGTCCTGTCTAATGACTGAAAATTCCAAATCGATCTCAGAGAGTTCAAGAATATGAACGTCTATTGAACTAATAAAAAGTGATCGAACTCCTGTAGCCCGATAAGGAGGAAAGTTCAGGCAGAAGTCGATGTAGCTATTGCCTCCACGATTCTATCCAAAGCATTCAAAAATGAATTCGATGTCTTGATTGTGATCACTGGTGACAGAGACTTCAAAGACTGTTTTGATAAAGTCATCAAAGAAGCCAGAAAGCCAGTCAAGATCATTAGCTTTCAGAACACCTTTTGGAAGGGTTACTTAAAATTTCATCCAAAGCTAGAAGTAATCTCTGGAGAGAAGATTTGGAAGAGAGCAATTGGCAAGTGACTTAACTCTAAAGCCTCATATTGTTCCTATACCAGGCACTCAAGATATAATGCTGAATACTATCAAGGAGAGTTTGCACAGAAGGGCAATAAGAAGAACAGGAATTACTCTCGACATAAATTTGGAAGAATTCAGAATAAGAAATCAGATCTTTCTGAGAAATCTAACTGCAACTTACCTTCGATGAAGCCTCCGATTGAGCGTGGAATTAAACTGTCATCATCAAGCCCAGCTTTAGTTCTTGACAATCCTGATTCATTAGGATCACCGAAATATAAAGGTACTTTACTGAAATTTTAGTCTTTATGCCTGAAAAATCTAATACCGCAAAATTTATATTCTCTAATGTTTTTATATCAAAAAAAACCTAGCTAAGCGTCACTATTGCTTCCTTCAAAAGTCTTTAGTAGAAGCAAACTGGATCAGAGTCTGTTCCAACTTCTTACTACTTTCCTTCTAAAATGGCAAAAATTAGAACCCCTCTTATTACTTCTATAGATTCAACTAAAGATGAAACAGCTGAAAAATCTAGTGTCCAAAAGACTGCTACCACCTACTTTGAGGAAGTAGACCTTGCCAGTAAGGCCAAGATACTCGAGCTGTGCAATGGTGACGATTTTAAAGCCGAAATGGCTCTTTTCATTAACGATAATAACCTAGAGAAGGCTATCAACTATCTACAAAGTTAACTTTTTTACTAAACTACACTATTTTCAATGTTTCCCTAAAAATTCGGGGTTTTGGGGTTTTGGGGTTTTGGGGTTTTGGGGTTTTGGGGTTTTGGGG